ATCATTGTCCAATCTGCTCTTTAAGATTTTCAAAAAACATTGCCTATACTGTTTTTATATGCTAAAACATACTATCCAAACTGGTTTTTAAGATTATCTATACATCAGACTGAAACAAGTCATCATGCAATCAGACCACCTCAGAGTTTACTGTGGCTTGGCACGCCATTATTACCAGGACAAAGCTGTAGGAAAAAAAGACTGCTTCAGAAAGTCTGCTTCCAAGCTTCCCATGTATTTGGGTGTTTCCCAGAGATGGTAAACTCAGAAATTGCTCAGCACTCATCATTTTTTATTGCAAAATTCATTAAGCTGCCATGCTATTATCATCCTATCTTGTCAAAATGATACATTACAGACTTCATTGCAAAACTTTAACAAGCAGGAGAAAGCACACCTCTCTCCCAACCAGAGTTCAGGAGAGCCTGTCGGTGTTTTTCTTGTGCCTTCCTATTTTTTTTTTTTTTTTTAGAAAGCTCTGTGTCTTTGCAAATCTCTTTCTGGTAACTCCCTTTTTCTCCTTTGACCGTGTGAAGAGTTTCCTCCTTTTGGCTGTGTGAGGTGTCATGAGCAGCTGTGAAAGAACAGCCCTCTTCCCTTTTTTTTTTTTTCTTTTTTTTTGACTTTTACTCTGGAGCATGTTGAAAAGATGACATACTAGCCTGAATTCTGACAGACTTCCACGTACAATGGGAAACCTCCTCCAAAGTGATTTTGGAGACCTGCGTTTCATAGTTACCCTCCAGTCCTGTGTGTTCAGTGGGCCGGACGTGTCCGGGCCTGCCAAGTGGTGTGAGTTTGGCTTGGCTGTGAAGTGCTTTCCTGGCCTCGCCTCTGGGTTTGGTGATACCCGGAGAACCTGTCTCCCCTGTGTGATGGAGTGGCCATTAGCATGAGTCGGAGTCACTTGGTAAATACGGAAAGTGAAGTAGCTCAGTTCCCAGATTTCCATGGCAACCCCCAGAACAAGTACAATGTCACCAAAATTATTCTGTGGCTTTCCTTTTTTAGTTTCAATGATTTGGTTGCATACTCATATTTTTCCACTCCTGATCTGTACAGAAAGTAAAACTGCTGCCCACTGTCAGCAGCACTTTGGCTTGAAGGACATTAATGGTCCTTTTCTGAAGCACCTGAAAAATTCAAACTCCTCTTTCTGTTCCAAGAGATATTCTTGCTGACAGACCTGTTTGAGAAAGGCAGGGATTCTCACTGGCTGCAGCCTGTCCCAGGCACTCCCCAGTAGTAGACATTCTTTTTCTTTTTGTCATTTAATTGGTCGCTATGATCTTGATTTGACTCATAACTGGTTGTTGTATTTTTCTGAAGTCCACTAACCTGTAATTTTTTTTCCTCTAGCAACATAATTGCCATCAGTCCTTCCTATACCTTCTAATGAGGATGCCAGAGTTGGACTGATTCATCAGTGACTCCAGTTCCGTTATTTGAAAGATATGGTTTATTTGTATTTGTTTTTTTTTTTTGTTTTTTTTTTTTCCCGGTACCGGGAACTGAACTCACGACCTTGTGCTTGCCAGGCAGGCGCTTTGCCGCTGAGCTAAATCCCCAGCCCCGGTTTATTTGTATTTAAAAGAACCCTCTGAGGGGGCTGGGGACTTAGCTCAGCGGCAAAAGCGCCTGCCTGGCAAGTGCAAGGCCGTGAGTTCGGTTCCCGGTACCGGAGAAAAACCAAAAACCAAAAAAAAAAAAAAAAAAAAAAAAAGATCCCTCTGAGCTGCCTTTTCTTGGGCTTTTCTGTCAGGAGCAGGTACTTATTTGCCTTCAGGGGAAAAATAATCCTGTTTTGAATGACAGAACTGAATCATTTTCTCTTTATTTCGTAATTTATTCCAAATTTGTAAGAATTTGTCTCGGTATTACTGGTTATAACTATTAAAACATTGCATTTGCCTCTGTTTGTACTCTCTACCCTTTCTTTGAAATAATTCTTACTATTTCCCTCTATTGCTGTCGAGACTGTCAGCATCTCAGCTTAGATCTTCCACCCAGGATGTCTGTCTCATTTTCTGAGGTCATAGATGATGAGACTTAACTCTACTAAACCGTAGTAGTCTTGTAGTCAGGGAGTGCCTGGTTCCTGGATTTCCTGGTCATATAGCCCATCACCAGCTGCCAATAAAAAATCTGCCTCATAGGGTGCATATTTGACAATCTTGACTATAAAATTGTGAAACTTTGTAATACATATTTTTGTATGTTCTTCTTGGACAAATAACTCCTTTCTCTGACCTTTTGTTTTGGCTGTTGTGTTGTTTTTTTATAGGTTATGCATCTGTGAAAGAATATTTGAAATTTTATTTATTAAAAAAAGAATACTAATGTCCTGTAGTGAATGAAATAGTAGAAATCTTCAAACTTCATTTGGGTGTAGGCATTTGTTGTATTCTGTTGACCTTTCCAGCCCGTAGAGATTCCCTGTTTTCCACCAGCCCCCTTTTTCTCTAGCAGGTTTATTTCAGACAGATATGCTGTCACCTTCCCCATTAGGTCATAGAGTTACACAGTTTTTAATACTGTAATAGTAGATATGTCCTTTGAAACATTCTCTAAATCCAGTTTTTGGACTTATTTTATGAAAATCAGCGTTGTGACAACATATTTTAATAAAGCAAAACACCTGTATGTAATGTTACTTTAAATTTAGTTTCAGGGTTTTGTCTTAAATTGTAGTCCACTGAAGATACACATATACACAAGTGTGTGCAAATTGATAATACCCAAGTAAATTTATAAATAGAATACCCTCAAAATGATGTAGATGTCTTTTAACTGTCTGCTGACCTTGTTTGGTATTTACTTGGTTCTCAATAAACATTAATTGAATAAATGAAAATTGAGGAAGTTTCATTTCAGATATTTATCTTTTCTAAGGAATAATAATAGGGAGGAAAAATGTCCTGATAACATTTTAGAAAAGCAGGTATACTTTTAACAGTGTGTTATTTCAGATTTGTAAGATCATAGCCCTCTCACAGACAAGTGAATATAATCATCAGAAATATGTGAACTGTAGTTATTCTCTTCTGTCCCCTGAGAACTCAGAAATTATATCATGCAGAGTTGGCCCTTCAAGCTTCACAAACTAGAATCAATAAAACTATTCACCTCTCTTCCCATGTGAATAGGAAGATGTCTTCCGCTGAAGGCCAAAGAAGAGTTGTCTTCACTCTCCCTCTTTGTGTGGTTCTATTTTGGGCACTTTGCCGTTTCTCAGGAATCTTGGTGTGAACATTCTGTGTGAAGGAGACTTTTACTTGTACTGATTCATGTGAACAGGTGCTTAATTCATCCTCCCGATGGCCCCTAATTAGAAATTTTGAGAATTAGTTCTCTTCCTGGTGATGGGCTCTGGTTTACAGGCTGTGTTAGTCTTCCTGCTCACTATCATGGTTACAATTTCTCTTTCTGTCTGATAGTTTCTGTTTGAACTTTAAACCCTTGAATTATGACTAGCACTGAGTCTCAGTAATAACTCTAGTAATACACTGGGTTTTTTTGTTTCTGTTTTTTTTTTTTTCCCCCAGAGTCTACGTAGAGTTCAGAAATCTCCCAGTAACCTCACAGGATTTTATATCTTCTTAGGGGCTTTTTACAGGGAATTAAGAATTTGCCAGGATATTAAGAGGTATTCTAGTGTGAGTATGTCTATTTAATGTGAAGGTTATTATAATGTCATTCTATAAGCATAATTTGTTTTTATGGACGTGACTAGTACAAAAAGAAAAGTATTTCTTATGACATCACCTTTATTGGCTAAAGAGAGTTCAACTGTTGACCTATAAATTGCCATACAGTGATTCTAACCTGTCCTCTAGCAATATACTACGTCCCTAACTCTTGTCCAAAAAGGCCCAGTAAGAATTAACTCACATCTATTTCTTGACAAGTGAAGTAAGTGCCAGACACATGCGTTGATTTCAGTGGTATATCTGTAAAGAGTGAGGAGGAGAAATCACAGAACTCTAAGTCTGTGATGCTCTGCCGCAGCAGTGGTGCCCCTGCCATTTAACTAAATTGTCCCCCAAATGTTATTTCAGTGTATGGTTCCAAGTTTTTGAAGAGGAGAAGAGACAAAAAGTTCTTTTCTTTGAGCAGTATTCTAAAGTTTACAACACACATTCCTGCATATGATCCCACTTGATCCTCACCAGCTCCACAAGCTGTGCTAAGCGGCTCTCCTTCCCATTTTGTAGATTCATTAACCAAGAATCTGAAAGCAAGTGGAAATTGCCTGAGGCTACGCACCCAATCAGAGATGGATTCTTGAAGAGAGCTCAGCTTTTCTCCCCCCCTTGGCTTCATAAGATTCTCCAAGGGTGCATCTGACTGCTTGGACCTTTGACTCCGTTTTTTGTTTCGTATATGCAGAGTACTGTGTAGCCTCTGACAGTTCTATCACAGAATTAACATGAAGTTGGGCACTAACTTAGCTAGAGCTAAGACCAGAATGTATCTGGGTTGGGGTCAGGAATGTAGAGTGTTTAAATTGTAAGGAAGTTGGTGGCCAAATAAAGAGATTCTCTGATGAGGTGCTGTAGAGTTGGAGGTAGTTCATAGCCAGGGCACTATTAGAGGCATGATTTGTATAATAGGTGAGCGTCACAGAAGCCGAGGGGATATGGCTGAATGTAAGCAGTCTCTGAAAGCTACTCTGTGTTCTGAGCATCCATCCTCTAAAAGATGGCACCACTTCTGGTCCAATGGAGGACCACACATAGGAAAAGGGTTGGTTCCTAGTACAGGGAACGTATATCCTATCAATGGGAAGAGCGTTTTTCCTCTAAAATTTCATATCACCTATTCCCTTTTGACTCTTTATGTCCCACTGCTAATTATTACTCATTCCTATTTTTTTTTTAGTTTTAGAAATCTCAATCTCAGTCACCCAAGCCTCATGATTTATAATTTTGTATATATAGGAACAGACTGTCACTATGCAGTAATAATAATACAGGGCTTTGTGGTCTTTTCCCCACCAGAGGAGCAAAGGAACAGCATCATCAACTCCAGTTTGGAATCTGTCTCATCAAATGCGAACAGCATCCTTAATTCCAGCAGCAGCTTGCAGCCCAATATGAACTCGAGTGACCCAGACCTGGATGTGGTCAAACCCACCCGGCCCAACTCGCTGTAAGTATGACGTCCAGCTGCGTAGGGTCTCAGCCAGTCTGAGAGAATCTCCTTTCTGGGTCCACCTGACTTTGGGCCATTGTCCCAGAACTGTGATATAAATTTCTCCCCAAACTTGGAGCTTGGCTGGCTTGCTGTAGAATTTTTAAGCATTGTCATCTCGAAGGGGAGTCGCTATTATTAACATGCTGCTGCTTGGCCTTGGTCATCTTTGATTTACTGTCCTGCTGAGATGGCTTTGGTGATGGCTACTGCCTGGGCTGGCTGCTGGGCATGAAAAGCAATTTCTTTTAGTTTCACAAACACCAGGGACTGTGGTAGCTTGGTAGATCGGTAGCCAAGTCCATCGAACTCCTTTATGTGGTCTCAGTTTCTCTTTCTCCTGACTGTGTTAGAAATGCGCAGTGCCACCTCTGGGCCTCTGGCCATAAAGACAAGCACATTGCCCTTTGTGTCTTTGCATTCTCAGACCTTAGTGTGACTGTGATCTCTCACTAGAGGCTTAAAAAGAGCCTTTGTTACTTCACTTTGGACCCTGAACAACCATAGTCAAAATAGGCAGTTTGGGGGCTGGTTGTCCAATCGCCTTTCAGAAACTGTTCTAAAAGGGCCAGAAAGTTCTCCCTTGTGGCTCCAACCTACATTGTTTAGCGTGCTTCTTCAGGCCACACAGTAAATCTTGTCAGCTAGAGCCTTTGCCAAAAGAATGTGAGGCCATGACCAGAACAACTGGACTCAGACTACAGCTATATAAGAGTCAGGAAAAACTGTGTTGACTTTGCCTTTCTCTAGTAAAAATAGTTTAAAGTTCAGCCACAGGCTGTCTTCAGGCAGTTGCTTCACTTGGTGAGACACCAGCATGAGGATGAGATACAAAGAAGGCAGAAACCTTTTCCTGCCCTTCTGTGTGCTGTGGTCGTGTGCTAGTGCCTTGCTGTTTCATCTCTTTAAGGTGCAGTATTTATTTATCTATAAAATGGGTCTAATAATTTTTGCCTTACAGCAGACTAAGGGGTGTTAAAGGCTCAGGAGGAAAAATACTCCAGAATGGATGTAAGAGTACTTACAGTGTACTTACCATAAAAACATAGCTCCAGTGTAAGATGAAATCTTAAACGGTGGGGAAGTCAGATCTCTTTTTAGTTCTTGACAGTTTTTAAATTGTACCAGCGTTCAATAAGTTTGATTGCTTGCCCATTATTTGGTGTGTAATGTTTTAGTTCACCAAGAAGTGGACCTGTGCCTCCAGAGCTCGGAATAGTTGAGTTACCCAGCTCGTGGGCAATAAGTCTCTTCTGGATTTGCATCGCCAGATTTGCCTACAGAGCCTCCTGGCCTTGCCAAATGCTTTCTCAGACTCTCTTAAGACCTGCTCTCCTGGACTTTAAGGAGATTATTTTTTCCCTGCTTCCATTTGGTTTAAGTCTTCCTACCCAGCAGTTGCTAAAGTTATTTGTAGCTCAGCATGAGCAGAGTTGAACTTCTAGACCACGTTGCTTCATGTTTCCTGATATTAGCCAACCAGTACCAACCAGTGGTCTTTAATCTTTGTTTTTAGCGGCCGGTTGCTGTGGGCCCCTGAGTCACTGCTGAGAACAGTGTGTTCCAAGAGGTTGTTTAGGCAGCTAAGTGAAGGCCAGGGAGTGGAGGTATCTTTTAAACAGGTTCTGAAGGAGGAGCCTTGAATTTTTTCATTTTTTGAGTAGCTATATGTGATTTTTTTGTATATCATACTGAGGGTCACTGCCCGCTTTACCTGGTACAGACTTGGGGGGCTTTCCCAGGAAGGGAGGGAGATGACGGGAATAGTTCTACTTACTCATCTTTGGAGGAGGGTCAGAGATGGAGTGTGGGTGTGCTTCCAACAAAACTGCTGTTCCCAAGCTGAGTGAGTCTGACCGATACCTGTGAGTCTTAAGGTCAGGAAGGCATGCTCTTGAGGTAGAACCAGTGGTGATATCAGAACTGGAACCAGCATTTTCCTTGTCCTCCAGTGAGGCAAATGCTAAATCCTTCGTAAGTTTTGCCAACAGGTTCCGTGGCCATTTCTAAAATCCAAGGCATTTTTCTAGCTTCTATCTGCGCTGGTGTTTCCTTCCTTGGGTTTGCCTGGTGGATTATGAATGGGAGTTAGGCAGTCCTGACAAAATAGAAGTCCCAGTACCTTCCCTGAGAAAATTAAGCCTGAGAAGCCTGTGAGCACATTATGCCAGGGTGGGCAGGCTCAGTCGTACCAAATGAGACCCTGGTACTGGATCCATTCATTCTCTCCACCATTGTTCAGTTTGAGTGCACACAGGTCCTTAAATGGAATACTTGACATAGATGGAAGACAAAGGTGTAGAGTAGAGGACTACCATTAGCTGACTGTTAATGACTCATAAAGTTAGGAACCAGTCACCAAAGAATAGGAAACTACCTATTCTTTTTATTTTGTAGATTATTTTTCATGAGGAAAGAAATACCTTTGATATTCTGATACTTTGCTATATATCATGGGTAAATCTTTTCATAATTCTTCTGGGACAGTGATGGCAAACCTTTTAGAGCTTTGAATGATACAAATAGCCTGCTATAGCACGCGTGCCATAGGTTCGCCAGCACTGTTTCAGGAAATCAGGGCCCTCGTGTCTGCAAGAGCATACAGCTAAATCAGGCATCAAAATTAGAGGTATGGCCATTCTACCTATACCATGGTAAGGCTGCTGTGTTTAAATCTCTGGCAGGTCCTTACCTAGACTCTCAAAGTAGGTATTGCCCCTAACAATCAAGGGACAGGTGGTAAGCTGGGACCAAAGTCCATGTAGTCTGAAATTATCAACAAATCTTGCCTAAATCTGTGCTAAGCTTCCTTGGATAATATAAAAAAAGGGAACTCCTGCCCTCCCTAAGTTTGTAGTCTGGCAGAGGAAAGACAGTGGCACAGATCAGTGCTAAATAGGTCTTGGAATGCGTCATTGTGTTCAGAGTTCAGTTACTAACTGCTTATCTGTGAGTGTACATACTGAGAATCAGAGTCCTGGGCAAGGTGAGGTGGGTGAAGTGTGAGGCGAGATTTGGATGGGTGGGTGAGGAGCATTCTAGGTCAGGGAATGAGGAAGGAGAAATGACCCAGGATAGATAAATGCAGCCTACAGACACGTGCATTAGGGGAGGGCGCTATAGTTTCTCCACTGTCATTACTAGCAGAAAACCAAAATAAAATGAAATAACCTTTAAAATCAGAAGATTTCATATAAAAATCCAGATTTCATGCTGAAACAACTGGACGTTCACCTGCAAAAACATGAATCTAGACATGGACTGTACACTTTTCACCAAAATTAACTCCAAATGAATCATAGGTCTAAATGTAAATTGGAAAGTATTAACACTGTAGATGATGTAGGATAAAACCCAAGTGATCTTGGATATGGTAACTTTTTAGATACAGCACCAAAAGCATAATCTGTGAAACAACAACACAAATAAAACCTGTTAAATTGGATATGATTTGAATTGAAAACTTCTCCCCTGTGAAAGAAACTGTTAAATTAATAAAATGGTAAGACAGCTTAGGAGAAAATGTATGTAAAACACTTACCTAATAAGGGACCAGTATCCAAGATATACGAATAACTCATAACATTCAACAATAAGTAAACTGCCAGCATACTTAAAATATGAGCAAGAAATCTGAATAAATACCTTACTGAAGAGATTCACATGGCAAATAAGCATATGAAAAGATATCCCACATCACATGTCACCAAAGAAGTGAAAATTAAAACAGTAAGAGATACCACCACACACCTATTAGCATGACCAAAATCCCAGAGTACTGACGAAACTAATTTTCGGCAAGGATGGGGAGCCGCAGTCTCACTCGCTGCTGCTGGGAACACGATGTGGGGCAGTCACTTTAGAAGACAATTTGGCTTTTGTCTTACAAAATTAAACATACTTTTACCGTCCGATCCAGTGGTCATGCTGCTTGATATTTACCCAAACTGAAAGCTTACGGCCATACACAAATGTTCACGTGGATTTTGGGGGGGTAACTTTATTCATAATTACCAAAACTTGGAAGCAGTCAGTATATCCATCAGTAGATGTGAGTAGGTGAACTGGAATTCATATTGCTAAGTCAAAGAAATCAATCTGGAAAGACTGTAATATGGTCTGATGGTATAATACCACCTAAATGACTCTGAAAAGTGCAAAACTTGGGTTATTACAAGATCAGTGGTTGCCAGGGATTCGGAGAGAAGGGAAGAGAGGAACTTTTAGGACACAGAGGTTTTTGAAGGGTGTGAAACTATGCTTCATGGTGGATGTATGAAATTATGACTTTGCTAATACTAGTAAAACCCATAGAACACAAAGAATGAGCTTAATATAAACTACGGTCTAGTTAATAATAATATATCAGTGTTGGTTCATCAGTTGTAACAAGCATACCATACTACTGCAAGATATTAGTAATTGGGGAAAGTTAGAGAGTAAAAGAGGGGGTGTATGGAAACTTATTTTGCTTGATTTTTCTGTGAAACCAAAACTGCTCTAAACAATAGTTTTGCTAGTCTAGATTTCCAGTTCCTTTTAAAAGGTAGAAGATTCAGCTACAGGGAAGCTATGCGTTACTTGGTAGGAGAGGATGGCCAGGTCCCACCCTCACTGTATTGTGTTTCTCTTTGAGACCTTCTTCCTACAGAAGATTAAATATAGCCCAGAGTCTTTGCAGTCTCTCCTGTTCAGAGCTGGAGCCCTTGAATCTAGGCTGGCCTTCATGCTTGGACTTACTTTGACCAATAGAATGTGATAGGAGTGACATCATATGACTTGCCATTCCTGAGCACAATGCTTTGCAGTTTCCTCTCCTGACCCATGGAACCCATCTGCCTTGTACAGAAGCCTGTCTGAGCCTCCTAGAGAGGGAAGCCCAGCAGTCTCAGCCAAGCCTACCTCTCAGGCATCCAGTCAGCTGAATTCAGCCACATGAGTTAAAAAAAAAGCTGCCC